ATATGGTTTTTTTTTTTTTTTTTTTTGTAACACCTTAAGCAGATTTTGATAAGGAGATAATGCTGGCTTCATGGAACAAGTTGGGAAGGATTCCCACCTCTTCAATTTTCTGGAATAGTTTGTGTAGATTTAGTATTACTTCCTCCTTGTGTAATTTCTGTTTCTTTATTCCTATTCCCTATTTAGTGAGACACTGCTCATACATTAGTTCTTTAGACATGTTTCCTTTAGTTCTTTGAACACATTTTTAATTATGGATTTGAAGTTTTTGTCTGGTAAGGCCAGTGTCCAGGCTTTCTCGGGGACAGTTCTGTTCATTGTTGGTGGGAATAAACACTGTTCCACGCCTCAAATACTTTTCCCAGATGTGTGCACTCATCAACTCTCTGCTGGATACTTGAGAGGGACCTTTTGCAAATCCTCATTGTCTGTGGCTCAGTACCTTGAAAATTGTTGTTTCATGTATTTTGTTCAGTTTATTATTATTATTATTATTGTTCTAGATAAGAGGTAAATCTGGTTCCTCCTACCCTGGGCTACAAGCAAAGGTCTAGATGTTCTATGTATTTTCAAGATAGCTTTTTGATAGATTGTGTGTAGATTTTGAGAGATAAAAAAGAGATCACTACCATCTGATCTTCCTATAGTGGACTTTAGTGGTCAGAGAAAGCCAAAGATGTAAGACAGCATTTAAGACCATATAGGCAGGGGGTAAACAAGAAGAACAGGGCCTAGAAGCCAGGAGCTAAGGCACAGAAGTATAACAGTGCATGGGATACCCTCAGACCAGCAAGTATGCATGGGGTTGCATGTGTGCGTGCACATGCACACTTAAGTTTATTAGCTGCCCAGATATTTAAACATTTCACCTAAAAGAAATGCAGATTTCTGACTTCTTGAAAATAATCCAGAGTTCTGGACCACAGCTCTACATTCTTTCCTGACATCCATCAATGAGCTGAGATGGACTGCCCCCTTTAGATGAGTCATCCTCTCTCCAGTTTGCCACAGTCCCTTGTATCATTGTCTCTATTGTATTATCTTTGGCTTGCTTCCCTTATTCACCTTATCAGTCTAGAACATAGATTCCTTGGAAATAAGGCCAAAGGGGTGCACTTCAGAAAGATTAAGATTGTGTATTATCAGTGCTTTTTTTCGGAACTTAACCTTTTCTTTGTTCTTTATCATTCTATTTCTTTCTAAATTTACTGTCCTTTCTTCATTGTAATTTCTGACCTTTTCATTCTCAGTCATCTGACTTCATTTTACTGACTTATACATTTCTTTATTAGTCTATTCCGGGTGCCACAGAGAATACCACAGACTTCATTACTTAAACTACAGAAATTTATTTTCACCCAGTTCTGGGGCCTAGAAGTCCCAAGATCAAGGTGCCAGCAGGATTGGTTTCCAGTGAGGCCCCTCTTCCTGGCTTGCAGATGGCTCCCTTCTCATTGTGTCTTCACATGTGCTCATCTCTGTGTAAGAAAGAGCATGCTCTGCTTTCATCTTTGTATTCTTCTAAGGACACTAGCCTTATTAGATTAGAACCCCACTCTTCTGACCCCATTTAACCTTAATTATCTCCCTAGAAGCCCTTGTCTCCAAATACAGTTACATTAAGGGGTTCAGGCATCAACATATGAATTTTGGGGAAATAACATTTGATTCACAAGAATCTCTATTCAGTTTTATTTAATACCTGATTTTGAAATTCTTGCGTCTTTTTCAAGCTTCTCTTTGGTGTTTCTCGCCATTCCTAGACAACTTAGGGAGAAGATACTCTCTTCCATTCTTCAGTTTTCCTTTTTGTTTCTTTGTTTTCGTGTTTGCTTTCTCCTAATATAAAGTACACCACAAAACATTTGTTTTATATTTTGCTATTGCCATTGAATCATTTGGAAAGCTACATTGCTCATTCCACAGATAAGGATGTTACAGCCTTTTTTTTTTTTTTTTT